GCTGAATTGTTTGCTTTTAAACTGGCAGTACTCAGTTTACATAAAATGTGCAACAGATAAAATAAAAATAGTGCTTTCTTCTCTTCCTCCATTAGGTTAAAAACAAAACTCAGCTTCAGTATTTTTTGGTTACAACTCTTTGAGTGTGCTCAGGTCTTTAGCAGCTACATGGCAACATGTCACATCTTAGACTCCTTTTAAAAACCTACTTTATCTCCATAATTTTGTTTTGTAATAACTATATTTAAAAGTTTAGAAAGACAGCTGAATTACATCACCCTGTTATTTGAGGTACTTCCTATGATTTTAATACATTTTAAAAAAATCTATACTTGATAGATACTTAATCTGCAGGCAGTGTGTTGGAACCAGACATGCAATGTAAATAAACATATTTTGCATTAAAAATAAATTAGATAATCCTAGGGAAGGAATATTCATTCCCCCCCCCCCCCCCTAAAATATCGAACATCTGTCTCATACCAGTATTGGTTAGGATTTGGGAAAGTGAGTTTTAAAACAAATCACACTGTAGAGTTGCTTATTTTTCTCATCTGTTTTCCAATAGAAGTTCAGCTGCATCTGAATCACCTTTATCAATGCAAGCAAAGTCACATTGTTTAGAACGTGTTGTTGATTAAATAATTGAAGAGACAAAGCTTGTTTCTTTCTGTAACATCATTGTGGCATAACCCAATTTTATGTTTGTAGCGGTTTTGTAGGATACAATGCATGTTACAGATTGTACAGCTGTAAAATACCATAAACATTCCTCCAACAAAAATACCCAAAGGGAAAAAAAATAATAAAGAAGGATACATTTACATAAATAGTTATTTTCTCTCTCACCTCCCCACAGCCCCTTTCAGAGACTTAGTTTGGGAAAGCAGTTATTGAAGAAGCTCTCCTCATTAGTTATAGTCAGTATTCTTGTTGGCTCAGTGAGGCAGTATACAGCTTTCACTAGGGCGACAAAGACTGAAACGTTAAAAATAGAACAAGCTTTAAGAATCCTAGATATTTTCAGATAACAAAGAGTGATTTATGTGGGCTCATTCTGCACTTTGACAAAACATAGAGACGCTTCTGTACTATGATTAGCAAGGGTTCTGATGTCAGTTCTCTTGTCCAGCTTCAGGCTTTATTCTACTGCTAAATTGTGCTTTGTACTGTAACCCAGAGAACCTTTGTATCTGCCTTATTAATGTGTAGTTTATGGAATTGCTTTTGTTTTTGAGTTTAATCTGTGCCAGTTTCAGTGAGTGACTCATTATGTGACTGAAATAAACATTCACATATTCACTATGCAAAAATTCATCAAAAAATAGTAGCAGGTGGTAGGCTAAACTCAGTGTTTTAAGTACTTAATAGTTGGTATTTTGTAGCATTAAGAGCTGAAAACAAGTTCTTTTTAGATGATTAATTTATGAAATTGGAGTAAAAGTCATATTTAACTCTCTAATGTTGAATAGGGCTTTTATTAGTGATAATATGAACAAGTTTCACCCCTTAACACAGAATTAGACAGAAACTCCCAAGCTAGGCAAAGTTCATTTGTACCAAGCTAATTTGTGTTGCATAAATCTGTAGGCAAGTATGTTGGGGTTTTTAGAGATTGCTTTTTAAAAACCTTATCTGAAGAAATGAAGACATAGTGGATAATTCCAGTTTCTGAAATAGCTGCAGTTTGCAGTATGTTTTTCAGAACTAATTCTCAATTAATTATCAACCTGGGGGGCTTTCTGTGTGGCAAATATCTAAGGCTCCTGCTATGCTAGTATCTAAGCTGTTGGTTTTTTTGGCTTGATAGAGATGCAGAAAACAGCACAAAATTTGTCAGATTTTCAGAACAGTATAGCACAATGCAGATCAATTCTGGAATTTTACACATTTTAATATGTGGCCTCTGCTTAAGGTGTTTCATTTGTTTTTTTTCTGTCAGTTTTAATTCTTGTATTTTGTTGTTTATCCCACACACCAGCTAACATAGTGAGAAACTATGTTTCTAACGTAGTGAGAAAGGTGACTTGAGAACTGACTTGAATTGTATAATTCTGCATTTTAAGGCTGAATATGTATATATGATAATGAACACAAAAGGTATGATTATTTGTATAGAATAGCAAGCATAAAAGTCTTTTTTTCAAACTCAGATGATTTTTAGTACATGGTGGCTACTGAATATGCCACAAGTTCCAGTTTAAATGTCTGGCATTTTTCCCCTCCCCTATTTTCTGTATTATCTTTCCATAGTAGCTTCAGCTTGATACCAAAAAAGGGCATCCACACTTGACAATGAGTTGTTTGTGAGCACCCACTGAAAAGCTGACTATGCTAAAAGCCAGAGCCGGTTAAGATGGTAGCACAGTTTTGATTCCCAGACCCCAGTATGTTTCCCCTCCACTTTGTCTGAGGTAATAAGCTACATTTACACTTCTCAGGACCCAGCGTGAGTTGTTTTCTGCTCCACAGCTGGTTTCTTAAGTCCAGTCTGAGAAAGTTTTGATCCCAGAGGTTGACAGATGCATGTGGATATGTAAAGGACACTACAAGTCTCAACGCTTCCATTCGACCTCTTGTTTGTATGGTAGTCTGTCTTCCTGTCACTGTGTACTCTGAAGAAAATATGAATGGATTTTTTTATGTGATGGATTTATATACTTGTTAAAACAACCTAAATACAAACTTTAAAACAAATCATTTTGGCAAGGGGTAAGAGAGTTTTTGGTATGGAGGAGTGTTTGCTAGAGCCATCCCATTCACTTTCTTTGAGCTCACACTTTGACTAGTAAGTAGGAAAAACAGTGGTGGAGATAAAGAGTTTATTCCTTTCTTGGCTGTGGGCCTGTTCCTGCAACCTTAACTCAGTGTAAAGGCAATGGGTCTTCTTTTGGGAGTAAGAACTATCTGTTTAGGTTCTTATGCCATGTCTGTTGAACCTTAAGTAAAGCAGGACTAGATCACATTTGTGGCAACTTCCTCTCCCTTAGATATAGTGACCCAAATCCCTAGTTACAGCTAAGGAGCTGAATGGGGGTTAGGAGGAGAGTGCAAAAGTAACTTAGGCATTCTGCAATCCTGAACCAACTGTGTGCGAAGTGTGGTTCCTGGGCATGAATTAGCATGTTCTGAGGGTTGCTCTAAATCTGTGGTTCCCAGACTTTTTACTAAGGTGACCCACCAACTGCCTTTTGTCTTTTTGGGGAGACTCCATTGCATAATAATAATTTTGTGTGTGTAAAATATAAACTACTGTTCACTATTTTTTAACTTTTTAAAAATTCAAACACCAAAGAAAAAAGAAAAACATAAACTTGCATGCTTTCTGCACTGCTAGCACCTCTCCTCTCCCAGTCCTGTCCCCTCTTGTGGATAGAGAGCTCTGACAGGGCTTCTGCTAACCCCCTGTAATTTGAGGAGGTCTCTCCTTTAAGTGGGAGTGGAAGACAGGCTACAGCAAAGGAAAACACAAAACAGCCCTCCAGTGACCAGTCTCTGTCCTGTGAGAGAACTGGCCTCTCAAAAATCCTTATGTCTGGGGAGCCTTATTGAAACAGACACCAAACAGTACAGATCCCCCTCCCAGCAAGGGGGCCTCACAGTCCGATTCTTCACCTGCATCAAGATGAGGAGAGCATCCCTGGCCCAGCTCCCAAACCTGTTGCTCAACTCCGCCTAGTCCTTATGCTCTCACTCTCCCAGTCCTGCTCGCTTCTGCAGCCCGAGCTGGCTGGGGAGACCTCAGTGGTGGGGGTGTTCAAGATTGGGTCTGCCCTGCACTGACCGTGCTGCGGCAGCTTCTGTCCTGCAAGGCTGGGCCTGGCTCCCTGCTCTGGGCATTGTGACCTGGTGGATGGGGTTGCAGGACTACTTAAGTTTGGCCCAGCCTACTCCCTATCATGATGGAGGAGTGGCCAGGCAAACCTGGGCAGTGCTGTGACCCCATGTGCAAGGTTGCAATGTCACTTGGTTGGCGGCACTCTCAAATGGGTGGCCTGGGGCAAACAACCCCTTTCCCCCACTCCCCCTGTGGCCCTGATAGGAGGAGTGCTTCTGGGGCTCGTGGAGAGTGACATGGGGGATAATCAACCCACCTAGACTCTTCCTGCAACCCACTGGTGGATCAGGACCCACCATTTGGGAAACACTGTTCTAAAGTACGCTGGATGTCAGTGGCCCCAAGGCACTGATAAAGTAGTTAAGGATCAGTGGGGCATAGAGTATCTAGGCCATGCCCCCTTCCCTGGGCACGTCTCCTAAGTTTGCAGCAGTGGGGTTGGTGTAGGAGTCGCAATGCCTGGACTCAGAAAATACATATATTCATGAACATAATTAAATGGTTTTTTTTAAGTTTAAAGGAGAAAACCAGTAACTTACAGTGCTGCCTTATAGTTTTGTAACTAAGTGAAACTATTTCATGTAAAGTGTTGCCAGCTAATAAAGTAGCTCTCTTTCTACAAGAGTAGCTGTCTTAAAATACTACCACTTGATTAACCTACTTTATTAAGAAGAGTCAGAGAAACATGCATGTATAAATGAGTATTATATGTGCTATGAAAACAAGTGACTATTGATGATAAAACAGCATGAAATGAAGAGGACACTTTTAAGTACCTATAAATATGTGTTGTTTCTTTTCCTTCCTGTGGCTGTATTCACTTTCTTTGGAAGTTTTTTTTTCTTTTCCTTAATTGGATTCATCCTTTCCCATTTGGCAAGTATCATCTTACTTTTGAAACTTATTCTCTTGAGCAAAATCTTAAATATAAAAGGAAATCCCTTTTTAAAAAGTTCACTGCCACCAGTTTGTAACCTGATTCTCCTCAGTTTAGTTTTTTTGTATGCAATCTTTTGGAAACAATTTGAAATATTTATTGCATTGTACTCAACCTTTTTTTACAATGCAGTTCCAGTAGTGGAAGTCACTGATAAATAGGCATAATTGTCTTTAAAATAATATCACTCATATTAACGTTTCCCTTTTCCCCCCTACTTCTTAGGCATGGAAGAGGAGGTGGTTTGTGCTTCGCAGTGGCCGTCTAACAGGAGATCCGGATGTGTTGGAGTACTACAAAAATGACCATGCCAAAAAACCTATTCGTATTATTGACTTAAACTTGTGTCAACAAGTGGATGCCGGATTGACATTTAACAAAAAAGAGTTCGAAAATAGTTATATTTTTGATATCAACACTATCGACAGAGTTTTCTACTTGGTGGCAGATAGCGAGGAGGAGATGAATAAGTGGGTTCGCTGTATTTGCGACATCTGTGGGTTCAACCCTACAGAAGAAGGTACATTTAGCATTTTTTTTCTTTTTCCTGAGAAACACTGTTATGTCACCTTACAAAGGAGTATTTAAAGATCAATGGCTATCTTTATAGCAAAAAGAGAAAATGCATTATTTGCAGATATATGCCTCAGATATGTAGCTCTTTTACTATTTAAATGAAATAAATGGGACAATGAGATCTGTAGGGTTTGTTTGTTTATTTTTAATACCTAGTGCAGTGGCCCCCAGGGGGCATGGAGGAACGTTCTAGGGGGCATGCGGCGGGGCCCGGGCCAGCCCCCAGGGGAGGCAGGGAGGGAGCACCTGCCCAGCCCCACTCTGACCACAGCTCTGCTCCGCCTGCAGCCCAGCTCTGCCCTTGTTGCCTCTAGAAAAACTGAAAACACTTCATTTTGAGTTTGAGGGGTTTTTTTCAGTGGTTTAAAAAATAACATGGAGGGAAATTCTGAAATGAAAAGTTGAAGTGTTTTGTTTCAGAAATGCTTAAATGGACTGCTCCAACATTTCCCATTTTTTTTTCTTTATACCAAAACAATTAGCCGAAATCCACCCATATTGTTTCAGTTGAGCCAAATAAGCATTTTTCAGAAAAAAAAAAGAAAGAAAGAAAAGAAAGAAATTTCTCCCAGCTCTGCATGTGCTAGCCTATGTGGATGTGTATATAGAGAGGTTTATGGGAACTATATGGAATCATTTATTCCAGACACTAATATGGAATTAGGTAGAGTACTACATCTTCAGCTTTTTGGTAGGAGGGTTTTTTGTGTGTGTGCATGTTATGTGTTTGCTGGGGAAGGGAGAAGTAGACTAGATCCTCATTTGGATTCTAAGGCTTGATAGTCCTGGATCAGTTTTCTACAAACATAAGTCCTTCAAATTTCATACCATGGCTTTTCTAGTTGGGAATAAGGTACTGTTGCATGTTTTATGGATGTAACCTTGGCCTGCATTGCCAAAGTGAAAAATTTAAATAGCTTGGAAAATCAGGAACTGTGTATCTGCATGAATTTTCAGCATCTGATTTTTACAAGATATGTGTCTCTGCACCCACATGTTAAAGAGTAGCTTCAAATCATATGCACTAGTTACATTTTTATCCCAGCTAATGTATAGATTATTTTGGGATGTTAAATAGAGGATAAATCACATCTATGTACTGGCAAACCTTCCTCTTCCTTCAGAAAATAAAAAGTATACCAATTTTATTACTTCCTTATAGGAACAGATATAAGTATGATTTATATCCTTCCCCAGAGGGACAGTGGCAACCTTCCCTCTGGCCTAAGGAAAACTGAAGACAGTTGCCTTCAGAGTCTGACAGTGCCACTCTTCAGATTGGCTGGAGGACTTGAAACTATGGGATTTGCTCCATTACCAGCCCTTGCTAGATTAAGGATTGAGTGAAAGCTTTGCTTTTGTCTGCTCCTCTTCAAATCAACTCCCTTGACATGAAGGGGAGCTGGGTCAGGCCAGTGGTATGTTGTGCTGCTAATAGGCTGCTTCATCATGAGAATGTGATTGTTGTTTTGTTTTGTGTATTTTGAAGATTAATTTGGGGGTGGGGGAAATACTGCTCTGGTGGTGGGAGGGGAAGGATTATCCCAGTGGATCACTATGTTGCTCCTTCTATGCTATCTGGTAGCTTTACTGGAATATCTGTGGTGCTGGCAGGCTGTTATTTTCTTTCTTTTTTTCCCTTTGACTTGCACAGGAGTGTTGCTATGTGGTGTTCCAGCGTAGGCCTTCCAAGCAGAAATGATTTATGCACGTCGTCACCATTCATTTTGGAAAATTACAATAACTTCATTTTGTTGTTTGGACAATGAGCAGATTGATTCATGTTCCTGAATCATCAGTGTCACAAGCTGTTGAATCTGTGCAGATTTCTGAGAGCAGAGTTAAGGAAGCAGTACACTACAGCACTGTATATTGTAGGACAGTTTCTTTTACAGGGATTTAGTTTTCAAGACAGAGTTTACATATAGTTTCAGTTAGAAGATCTTAAATTATTTTGGATTCCTGGTGAGTCCGGAGTTACCAAAAATAGATATTCAAATTACCTAACAACCTTAAGTTATTATTCTTTGTAATTAACAGAAACAAATTGGTGGGTGTTTAACGTTAATTTCTACCCCATCTTCAGATGAAAGCAGTAAAGTGCTAATTTCCAGGATCTTTCTGTAATATCTATCTAAAATGAAAATGGGGAGTGGTAATGCGTAAGGGTTTATTTTAGTTACTTTTCTATAAAACTTCATACTATATCTCTCAACACACACGTATGTGTTCAGCAGAAAACTACAGTACTACATGTATTTTAACTATTTTGAAGTAAAAAAATAATAAAAATGAAAATGCAGATTGCCTTTATAGTCATTAAAGTTAAACTTGTATATGAATCAGAGCTTTAGAGAAAAAGAGTTGTCATACTACATACAAACAGTATGTTCATCAGCCTATTCAAATAAATAAATGTAGCAAGAATAAAGGAAAAGAAGTGGAAGAGAAAGAAAACAGGAGAAAAAGAACAGAAGAAGGGTATAGTGTATATCCTCCCCTCACCTGCCCTCCCATAGATCTTGGTTATTTTCTTCATAGCATTTCAATTATATTTTCCAGAAATGCTGATCATGTTTCTTCAAAGGAATCAAAGTTCTACTTCACACAAAAAAGGAACTTTTTTCAAGATTCACTAAATCATTCTGTACGAAATAACAATTTTACTTTCTTCTGTTGCCTTTCAGTTTTGTACAATTTGTTTTTGATTTAAATTTTCTGCAAGTTATAGGATTTACTTCATCATGTTAAGGTTCACAGATGCATTATGATTAGGTACTTCAGGTTGCTTGAAGCTAGGTGGGTATAATCAGTCACCGGCCACAAGAGAATGCCCTGAATTTCCTTCCAGTTGTATCTACTTCCACAGTGGCAGGCAGCCTCAGATGATGATGATGTTGTTGTTGTTGTTATCATCTATTTTTGTAGTTGGGTAATACCTAAGAGTCCCAGTCATGGATCAGAACCCCATTCTGCTAGGTGCTATACAAACAGAGTAAAACCAGTCCCTTTCTCACAGAGCTTACAATAAGAGAAAATACAACAAGGAAACAGTGAGATAGTACTAGTCAGCATGGTGGGCATGGTCTCGGCACTCCTGCAGCCTAACTGTTACCAAGATTTTTGTAGGCATCACAGCAAAGGGAAGGATCTGAAGAGGAGAATGAGGTAGCTTTGCAGATGTTTATGGGGAGTTCCTCCCACACAAGGGGTAGCTTGGGCGAAACAACAAAAGTGTTTGTTTGAAAATTTAACCACTGGAGGCTGGCATCTTTGGCTGATCAGAGGCAGGAGTCGACATCTTAATAGCATATGAACGATGATAGGTGAGGATAGGCCATGAAGGACCTTGAAAGTGAAGACAAGCAGTTTATATTTGATGCATTAGAGAATGGGGGAGCCAGTGGAGGGAAGTAAAGAGAGGAGTATCATGGTAAAAGTGATAAGCTAGGAGAATAATCTTGGCAAAGAATGGATGTGAGCTGGACAAGATGGGATATCTCAAGGCCAGAGAGGAGCATGTAGCAGTAATTGAGATGTGAAATATTGTGAGCAAGGAGGAGAGTTTTGGCTGCATGGATGGAAAAGAATGGCCATGTCTTAGTGATGTTATGCAGAAAGAATTGGCAAGATTTAAACATAGCCTTGATGTGAGGATCTAGAAAGAAGGCAGAGTTGATGATGACACCCAGGTTATAGATGCGTGACCAGAACAATGCTGGTGTTGTCCAGTGATAGAGAAAGGAGGGAGGACTTGGAGGGAAAGGAGTAAGAGCTCTGTTTTGTCCATCTTGATTGTAAGCTGATTGCTGGATGTCCACAAGGAGATGTTAGAGAAACCAGCTGTGATTATAATTTGAACAGAAGAACACAGGTCTGTAGTAGAGAGGTAAATCTGTGAGTCATCAGCATAGAGATGGCAGTAGAATTTGTGTTGGCAGACAAGATTACCCGGAGACAAGGTGTAGAGGGAGAAAAGAAAGAGACTGTGTGATGGAGTTCGGTGGAACCCCACCCCCACAAAAAGCTGGGGGGGGGGTGGATAAGGAGGATCCTCTGACACACTGAAGGAGTAATTAGAGAGGTAGAAGGAGAACCAGGAGAGGACAGAGTCATGGAGATCATGGGGGAGGTCAAAATATCAAGAAGAACATGGTTGATAGTTATGAAGGCAACTGACAGATCAAAGAGGATGAGGATAGTTCTGAACTTTGGCTAAGAATAGACTGTTACAGACTTTTTGGTGAAAGCATCTCCAATGGAGTGCAAGCGGCAGAAGCCAGGTTGGAGAGGATCTAAGGTAGAACTGGAGGAGAGGAACTCCAGACAATGACTGTGGACAGTGTTTAATGAATTTAGAGATGAAGGGTGTAGGGCGATAGGATAGTATTTAGAGAGACATGTTGGGTGCGGAGGAGGGGTTGTTAAAATGAGAAACTAAAGCATGTTTGTATTGTGAAGGGAAATAACTGGAGAAGAGTGAGAGTTGAGGAGAAAGATAAGTGAGTGGGAAAGGGTTTGAGGAGGGAGTCAAAGATAGTAAAAGAAGATGACTAGGATTGCAGACATGGGATTCAATTAAAGTGGAAAAGTAAAGTTGCTTAGTTAGGAACATGGCAGAATTTAAGGAGGAGAGAACAAATTTGTAGTGGGGGAAGTCAGCTTGGTCACAGCCGTTCTGTCAGAGATATTCAGCAGCAAAGGAGCAGGAACAGAGGAAGTAGATATTAGGCTGATCCAGGGCTGGCAAGGCAGACCTGGCAATAGCAGAGAGAGGGGCTAAGGAGTCCAGGATAGATGAAAGTGAAGCATGGAGACAATTGACAACCATATCATGGAAGAGAGGAGAGAGTTGAGAGCAAATGAGAAGTCATTGACATTGATGGAGTGGGAATCTCAGAAAGGCTAGGTATAGGGCAAGAGGAAGAGAGCAGATGAGTGATG